ATCACTTTCCCTTCTCTCTTTTTCTTCTACTAGCATGGCAGTTGGCCTTTGGGCTGCGTATAAACATTAACATATTTAAACTAGTAAATATAAAAACAATTTAGGGGATTTAAAATTTCTTTAGAATAATTATTTATATTTATTATTATTACTTTATTATTTTTTAAATCACTAAGGTGTATTTGCTATATGGAAAAGATGTGACTGATATTAAAAAGGGAGCATAGGCAAAGGGAGCAAAGAATTCTACTTAAATAAACTTAGTAAATTACATAGAAATTTGTAGATAGAAGAACAGTCCACATGTTAAGGTTGATATCACTATTTCTCCGAAATAAACTTCCCACCCTATTTTACTTGTCCTCTTTTGCTTACTGTGGTTAAACCTACTATTTCTCTTCATTTTCCCCACTTTGTGTTCAAACCAGATCATTAGATTAATAATTGCTGCAATACTAAAAATGAGTGATTTGCTTTCCAATGATGCAAGGAAGCATGTAAGCTGAAGTGGCAAAATGAATAGAAAAAAAAAAAAAAAGGGAGGAAGCAAAAAGAGAGGAAGGAAGACAAGAGGAAGGTATGAAGAGAGAAAATGAAGAAAAAGAATAGGAAAAGAAAGATAGAGGAGAGAGGGGAATGAAAAAATAAGTAAAAGAAAGAGAAAAAAGAAAGGAGCAATGGAAGAGCGATTAAGGAGGCATTTCTCCATTTACTTTGTACTTGAATATAACCACCCTGGCCGAGCTAACTTTCAGCTTCCACGTGGTTATAGTTTAAGATGCATTCCATCAAGAACTTTTAAAAAGGAGGCTAAATATTTGAAATAAATAACAACATGAGTTCAATTGGTGGAATTTTCAAAATAGAGACATTTCTCTAATTTGGGAACAAATGGAGCATGTGGCCACACATAAAACGCGTGTGTGTGTTAGCTTGCTAAAATTGCTTTCTTCATTGAACTCTTCAAATATTTAAAACGATAATTTCAAAACAGAGTACAAATTGGATTTTGTACAGAAGTCCCAATTGTATAATTCACTAGTCATCACTTTTGTTTCTTACCAAAGTTTTGCTTTTGTTTTCTGAGTACAGTATCAATTTATATTCTCCAGCATTCAGACATAGTTTTAACTCTTCTCTTTTTTTTTCTCGGTTTTTAAAAAACTTTGAACTAATGAAACATAACTGTTTATTTAGTGTCAATGAAGCATATTATCTCTTCTAAAAGATAAGTCTGAAATAGCCTATATATGTAAATAACCTCAGAGGGTCATTTGAAAGCCATTATTTAGTCTGTCATATGTAGTTTATTTTATTATAACCTATTTTATGGCATGAATTTTCTGAATACTGATGCATATAGACAAACTATAACAAGTCAAAGGAAATAAATACATTAAGTTATGTCAGCAAATATGTTTACCTGTAGGAATGAAGAGCAATTTACTATTCACATTTCAAACCAAATATTTTTGTCTTGAAATGCCTGCAGTTATCAATGAGTTTGGAATTCATTTTCAGATTATTTTGGCTTTTGAGGAAATCTGTTTTCAATTCAATATTATTTCTAAAAGAAATTTTAGATTTGTCACCTCTAGAAAGTGATAGTTTTTCTTAGACAACTGAGATAAAGCAAGCTTGGAAATAGGACTATATCTATTAGAAATAACTGTATATATGTGTACACATTCTGCATTGCAAATAACACCTCTAACTTCTTAAGCTTGCTGAAAATAACTTTTAAAAATAGTGCATTTAACACCCTGCATAACAGCATAGCTGAAAGTTTCCTGAAGTGTTAAAGCAAAGGCTGGCTAGATGTTTTATCATGATGGTTGAAGGCAGTAACGTTGTGTCTGACACCTGACCCATTTCTCTCACTTCCTAAACTTCAAATAAATCAACAGAAAATATGATTTCTTTTTTTCCTACTTATGTGGTGGTACATAATGAGAGTTTACCTTGTATTTGTTGTCTATTTGTCTACCTTCAGAAGATATATGCTACAACATTATTTAGGATGCGTACCTTTAATGTAAGTTTTACTAGGCCAGGTACTTTAATAAAACCTTCACATTTCTTTGTTTTAGCATGTATCCATGTGTGGCATTTCTGATCTTGCAGCCTCTCCATTATCATGGTTAGATGATGCATCTCATCTTTACTTATTTTTCTTTCCTTGAATGTAAACTGTATTTTATAGAAGTTCATGCTAGACTTATTTGCATTTTTTCAATAGAGCAACTTTTAATAAGGAAAAAAACCCTTGTTACTTTAAAATTTAGCTCTACTTAGAAAATATATTTGTTCTTTAAATATCACACAGTTTGTACTGGGGAAAAAAGTAACACTTCAGGTTAGACTCTAAACATAATGCATTATCAATGAATTTTAGCCCAGAAAGAATTAGCCTTCTGGGTGCACAGCTTCTCTGTCTTGGCTTCCAGCCAGGGCTGATATTCCAGCTTTATTTTATGTTTCCCCAGCTGCTTTCTAAATCTGGGGAGGAAGCATCAGCCAGAATCTTCTAGTTTGAACACAGTATGCTAAATGCTGTCTCTTTTCCCTTAGTAGTTGCTTGTAAATGATGCACAGAAAGTTTGATCTTTGGATTTTATTTCCAAAGGCCCCTTTTCCACTCAAAAAGAAAGTACAAGGGGATCATACAAACATTTAACCTATTGGAAACAACTGTATTACTGGGTTAGAAACATTTATTTAGTACCTTTAAGAACTAATGTTAGTATTGAGGTTGAATTAAGTTTATTTTAAATCCAATGACAAAATGCTTTTTTTGGGGAGAAGAAATAATAGGTATAACAGTTTTAATATCAAATAAAATATAAAAGATCATTATCTTCCTGATGTAAACATAAATGACAGCATCTGTTTCTATTTTGTTTATTAATTGTAGAAATTCCAAATTATGACAACATATTTACGGATAAAAATAATCCCTAACTCCTCATATACTTCCGTTTGTTATATAGAATAATATATTTAAAATGACACATTTCTTAAGTAATATGCCTATCTTGCAGAAAACAAAATACAATTTATGTATATTTGCATTTTTATTTATTATTTATATATATGTGCATTAATCAATGAAAAATATTCAAGTTTTCATGAGGTTTTATCTTCCTTTTATTTAAAAATAATGTCTAAGTTTTTAAATTGGAAGTATGTATTTTATTTAAGGGTGATTTTCATGTTATAGTTAAGTCAAACGTATTACAATTTTTTCAAAGGATTTTTATGTATCAGTCTTAGTGGTGACCAGGTGCCATTCAGACAGAGTTAAAAGGCCCATGCTACTTAGTATTCAATTTCTAAAAATCTTCTCAATTAGCTTATTATGAGCTGTCTATTAATGTAAACGTTGTTTAATATTGATCATCATAATGTATAATCACAGGATTTCTTATTTTTAAAAATGTCAACAATAACAGTAAGCTTAACTTCCCATTTATATATTGAGGTAAATGTAAATGGCAAGTATATTTTGCTTGTTAATCAGTTGCTTTTTATGCATTCCAGTTCAAGACTTAGACTGTTCCAATCAATGCTTTACACACACACACATAACTTGCTTTACATATACATACATAAATTTGCTTTACACACACATGCACACACACACACGCACGCACACACACACACACACACACACACATACACACACACCACCAGCACAGAACCTATGTGACATTGAGATATAGCTAACTGGCCTACTTTTAACAGAGTAGAGTAAATTACTCTTTTGATATTAAAAAAAAAAAAAAAACCTTTAAATCTTTGTAGAGAAAATTCATTGCTTTCTAGTTTTGGGGAAATTCAACCAATTACAATAACTTTTATCTTTATTAATTTTCTCTTGGGTCAGAAAACTCACAGGATTTTAACCATGAAGTAGGTGAGAAAGTGGATAACTAAAATCATTCTGAGAGTTAAAGAAACACATCAATATTTTGGTATGCAATTCATGTTAAAGTATTTATGATATTAAGCCAATGAAAAATATTCTGATAGTAGGCACCATGAAAACAAGCAAAAGTGAGTTTGAAAGAGACGTAATAAAGCATAAACTTAAAACTTTCTAAAGCTGTGTGAGAACTCACAGTATAACTTATCATAATAAACAAAACATATCACTTAAAAAACCAAGGAACTCTAAAGAATATAGGATTTATTAATCAGGACAAACTGTAATAAAATAAGGTTTAAGTGTTTTTATTTAGCTTCCTCAAACAGAGATATTGAAAAGAATGAGTAAAACCATATTTAAACAACATTTCTTGTTTTCCAACTTATTCTGTGCTTGAGGCAATTGGAGGTATATCATAAGGCTTTCTGTCCTAGGAAACTATGCTTAGGGTATATGACATATATTGTTCTAAGAATTTATTTTTCTTTTACAATAGGAGGTAGGAGGAAAACATCTATGTCTTTATAAGCAATTTATGACTGTATCATACAATTTCAAATGTCTGTGACAGCTGTTTCTCTAAAGCCGACCATTAGAACAGAGCATGCCTATAAATCTGAGGTCCAAAGAAGAGTTCCCATCTTCAGTACTATTTGAATGCCATGTTTTCAGTAACACTTCTTGGCAAAATATTTAGAACCTTACAGTTAACTTTTGACGTTGAGTTTGTAAAATTGGTGATTTTAATATGAAAAGGCTAAAATTGTTATCAAATAAGATATTTTCTATGCAAATGTTCTGGCAACTGTTTAAATTTTATGAAGTTATATCTCTTCTTTAGGCAGGACTGTATTTTCTATTTACCTGCAAATATAACTTCTGTAAAGCAGGATGACAGGTAAGCACACACATGCGATAAAGGTAGATTGAATTTGTTTTTAAAATATTATCTGCTTCTACATAAATCTTTCACAAATAAAACTTTATTGTGTTTGACTGGTTTACATAGCTAAGCAACACATATTCATTTATTGTACATGTCCCGGTTTCAGCAAATGAAGCAGTAACTTACCTAGAGAAGCATTTCAATATTTTGTCTTTTCCTAACTTGAATTTATGCCGAGTTAGAACATGAGATATCCAGTATTCAGGTTCACTTGGCTCCAGGTTAATTAGAAGGAGCTTTCAGTTCATGCAATCTGCCTCAACAATATTCCAAGAGCACTCTCTAGCTCCAGTCTCAGTATCTGAACTCTTCCAGCAGAGTCCTTTTATTTATATACACATTGTCCTTTTCAAAACAAGCAGCCAGCTGGAATGATTCAAACCTCTGTTCAGCACACCGTTAAAATGCAGCTTCCTTCTTGGACACGAGAATTACACCAGGGAGCAGACCGAGTACAGCAAAAAGGCTATGAGAACTATTTAATCACCGGAATACCAGCTGCTCCTGCTCTGCTGTTGCTAGTGCTGCTGTGTCTCTTGTTTAGCTGTAGTCGGTCTTTCCCTCCCTCCCTCTCTCTCATATCTCCAGAACTATAAAGGCAGCTTTGCCGGATTATGATTGGCAGAAACAGCCAATTCCTTCAGCTAATCATCCTCAAGACTTTCAAGGACCTGGAGCTGTTGTGATGTCATCCAGTCAGTGGGATGCTACACATGAATACATTCCAACAGAAGCTAATTCAGCGATGGGCTGCATTCCTCTCACACCGCGGTGATTGATTAGATGCTCCTTGAAGATTTGCATAATCTTTCATTGTACAGTTGGACTATTTCCTATGAAATTTGAGGATAGAATTCCACTTTGCAGCTATGACACTGTGCCACGAGATTCTATTGGACGAAATGAGAAAAGTTCAAGACAGGATTTTCTGCTATAAATATGTGCCAGTTAAACACAAATTGCAAACTCAAAGCCAGCAATGAGCAATAGGAAACTCAGACAAGTATTTGTAAGCTACATGTTCCTGAAGTTAGTAATAGCATTTTAGACCATAATAAATGTTAGAAGAAAAGAAAGAGTATGTGAGTGTGCATTTATTGTGTGCATTGTTTTTAGTAATTAAGGTAAATTACTGGATTATCATGGAAAAGTTCTTTCCTGTTCTCCACACTAACAAAAATTGTCTCCATGTCTCTTTTTATTCCATTTTTAATTTCGGCCATATAAGATGAAGATTACCTGTTATTTATTTTCTGTTAACACATGTAAACACGTAAAGGAACTATCAAGTACTTTTGTATACCTTACATAAAGTTCTTTAACCTTATTCATTAGAATATGTGCAAGGTGAAAGTACAGTGCTTTCAGGTACATGTCTTCATTCCAGACGATATGATTCCTTGGGCTTTTCTTGCTTTGGTACATTCTTTAGTAGCTATCATTTAATTTAGTGAAATAAAATATGTTAATGATAATTTGGTACAACACCCCTTATAGGCTACAGAAAAGAGCTCCAGCTTTTTTTCAACTCCCAAGTCTTCCTCAGGTATATTGGTGTCTTTGGTTGCAGGTAGTAGTTCTACTTGAGATACTGGGGTGGTTTCAGTGATACCCTCTGTACGACTGGAAAGTAAGGATAGGAGGGAATCCTTCAAACCTTAGAATTTATTGATAATGTGAAAGCTTAGAATTTATTGATGACGTGATCTTTCAGAAGAATAATTTTAACACACTGGGATTACCAGTGTTATTATACTGCACAAGATTTTGAGGGTTAGCAAGCCGTAGACATATGCTATACAGAGGATGGGGGAAAATCTAGCAAGTTAAAAAAAATTTGCCGTAGTATTTCATAAACAATAAACATAAAATATTTGCCATAATAATTCGTAAATAATAAATATAATCTATTACAGCCTTGGTCATACATCAGTTGTTTTTCAGGTGCACAGACTAAAATATATTAAAGAAAAAAAATTATATTTTAAAAATAATTAAAGAGTTCAGGAACTTCTTACCACCTTTTGAAACATTTGGAAGATCAAGTTGGGGCCGGGCATGGTGGCTCACACCTGTAATCTCAGCACTCAGGAAGGCCAAGGCGGGTGGATCATGAAGACAAGAGATTGAGACCATCCTGGCCAACACGGTGAAACCCCATTTCTACTAAAAATACAAAATTTAGCTGGGTGTGGTGGTGTGCACCTCAGCTACTCGGGAGGCTGAGGCAGGAGATTTGCTTGAACCTGGGAGGGGGAAATTGCAGTGAGCCAAGACAGCGCCACTGCACTCCAGCCTGACAACAGAGAGACTGTCTAAAAAAAAAAAAAAAAAAAGAAAAAGAAAAAAGGAAAAAGTCAGAATTTTCATAGTGATACACAACAAAATTCAAAATGGATAAGCTGCAGTTAAATATTTCAGCAATGTCATAATAAAATCATTATTGCTAGGCTATCATCATCACCAAACACTAATAGCTGATAAATAAAATAGTATAAATTGTAAAAGCCAATTGAAGAGTCTCTATTGCATATAGTTTGGCTTACTAATAGTGCCTTTTTCTTTATTCAAGTTGGGTGATTATTTTTAAGTCTTATCTTTAGAAAGAATGATTTAAATGAAAAACTATTATAAAAATACTCAAGGGTCTGTATATTATTGACATAGTTCTATTTCACAAGTAAATCAATAATACTACTTTATCAGAGTATTTGCCATTATTGGAACTAAATGCCAACACAATGATCTGAAGATGAAACACATCACATTAAAATATGGAGCAGGGTTTATATCCTCAGGACTGGTGATAAACTAGAGTTGATATTCATTGATTACAAGTGAAAGATGTTTATCAGTGTCTTTCCTAGCATTAAACTATAAACAATGCTTTTAGTTGAAGTGGTCAGTACTTTCACAATGTAAAAGTGCCATATAAAATAGTAACAAAAGATATTTTATTAAAGATAACAGTCTTTTAAAGATGTGTTAAACATGAACTTTGAGATTCAAAAAATCCAGAGGTGAGTAACTAAAATTCAATGTAGGGGAAAAATACTCAATTTTCCTCTCTTGATCTCATTGTTCATTCAGAAATACACTAAGTACTGAAGGCAGAGGGTTCCACCATGTATCTATGTATAAATGAATGGAAACCCACCAAAAAGTGCTTTCTTTTCTATACCTGGGAAAATTGGAGAAATTCACAACACTCACACTAAAACAAAACAAAATAATCTTCAAGGTATTTTGAATATTTTTCTTATAATTTCCTTTGTATATTATATTTTCAATGATAACAACAATTAGATTGGTGAATTTGTAATCTTTTATTATTTTCCAAAGTGTCATGATGGGGAAATGAAATGAACGAGCTTAGGCATTTCTGGGAAGAAATGAAAAGAATTATTTACTCAAAGTGTTTTAATTTTTAAAATCATTTAGCTTGTGTTTCACAATTTACAGGGCTTGTACTTACGTCAAGATGTAGCCTCAGTTCAGTTTGTTGTCAATAATACATGCAATACAAAGTGTTTACCCAATTGCTTACACACTTTTAGAGAAGAAAGCAGATGCTTTTGTTTCTTTAAACACTCCTTAAAATATATTTTTTTCTTTATCTATTAAGATGTAGGTCCAGACTTACATTAAGACCTCAATGAATCTTTTGAAAATTGAATTAAACTTGTTGAACTAATAAACTTCTAGAGCTCTACATATTTTGATTCAATTGCTCTCTTGATTCAGCAAAAGTTAAAGTAGTATTTGCTCACTACAAAACCTTTCTGTTCAACTGAATTTATTAAGATAAATTTACCTTTTAAATTTTCCTTGGAAGTTCAAAAAATGTGTGTGTGTTATATGCATTATTTGGAAATTTTAGAGGTGAAAACATTGAAAACATTCTATAATATACACTGATAACATATATAATGTAAGGATATAATATACTTTAAATTTAATTTATAAATACATATATATATACATTTTGTTCTTTATAATATACACAAATATCTTTGTATATACTTAATAGAAGAAACAAGCATAAAAATATTTATTTAAAAAGCAAGGTCATTTTCTGTTTGTATGTCAAATCTCTGTTATAGTGAAAAATGAGAGCATAATTAAATCAACTAATAAAATATTAGAAAACTTTTTAAAAATTTGATAAATTTAATAATTTCAAAAATATATTTTTTCATTTTCTTTCTGATTAGCTTGGTTCTGCTGATTATTACTGATGGTAAGTTTTAAATGCTTGCCTCTGAAATAAATAAAAATTTGCACAGAAAATACTAAAAAAAGATTTCAAGTACTTCATAATTTCTACTTTTTGAAAAATTTTCACATGCATGTATAGACTATAAATAGATGATATTTACATCTTTCAATGTACATTTTTATTTAAGTTTCATCTTTTCTGTTACTTTTACAGCAAAATAATTTTGAATGAACACAACCAACTACATTTATAGTCCTCATAATTTTGATTGAATGCATCTAATTTAATTCACAGTTTACACTACTAAAACTTACAAATACAAGATTATATTACCACAGTACCACTTTCTGTCCATATTCTTTTCTTGCAATTTTAATTTTTAACATGAGCAACTATCCTGTTGTCCCAACACAAAAGGCTATAACTCTTTTTTAAAAGAAAAAGCATGACTAAAAGAAACTTCTATGTTCAAAGTTTATGCCTTCAGGGAGCAGGGGAAGCCTCTAATTGGGTTGTGAGTGACTAATAGAAAAACTTTTTATTAAGAGAAAAAAAATCTTCTGCTAGCAATTACTAGGATAAGAACTTATATGAGAAAGACGGTGCATAAAATCAGTTTTGCTTTATTTGTGTCATAATACAGGATAAAAAAAAGTAGTGTCAAATAGCATTACTTGTATGGCAAGCACCCCAGTTATAGACTGAGATATTACCTTATTGCACATCTGTATCTATTGTTAGCATGTTATTGAAGGAGGGAAACAAATAGAAAGAGCAGGTTGGAAGAAGGAATCTTCTTGCCAGTATCACTGTAGTGCATTATTGTAGGAGGAGAGAAATCAACATGTTAATGCTGCAAATAAATCCTTTGAAGATGCAAAACTTAAAGGCCAAGTGAGGAAACAAACAGACTAAACAGTCCAATTCCGGTTTGGTTGACAACTACTTAAAGGAATATGATTTTTAATAAACAGTAGTTGTTATCAAAAGCACTATTTCATCACAAGAAATTGTGTTGTGTATTGAAATGGTAGCACTCGAGTGAGAACCAGAGTGAGGTTGGGAAGGACAGCAAAAATTAAATTTATGACTTTTCCATGATTGGATCTTTGCTATGAGAATTTTCAGTGAATTTCTCTTTTTGAGGGTACACAAAGGTGAGGAGAGTTCATAAAGCACACTAATTAGGTCACAACTACAGTGAGAGTTTCTCATCAAAGTAGAATCTTTAAATACCTTACAGTGCTGGTAAAATTTATCTACAATAGGCAGCTTCACTCTATTTCTTTCTTTGTTTCTCTTCTCTTTGGAATTTTTATTTGCCAAATTTTATTAGGGTT